TGATTTCTCTATGGAACGAATCCATGGATAAAATAATAAAATAAAAGTTCTATGACATGTACAGTAATTAACATTGAACAACACTGAATATGACTGGAAGAAGTAAAAGTTTGAATACAGTCCATTGTTCTGCCACATTCTCAAGTATGATGTGCTAAACATTCCTTTAATTTAAATGCTCTAACTTTGAGCAAACCACGAGGAAAAAAAATGCGAAACATATAATTTCCATCTCACACGAAAGGCAAACTACATAATTCATGTTATACTTTCACAAAATCAAGGATAATTTAACCACTTGACTTCGGTATGATAGATCTACATTAACACGTAAAATAGACCAAAAACCTGAATACACATGCATGTAAAGAGAAGAGGAAGATATGCAATTTTTGTTAAGAGTATACTTAATACGGACCAAATATTGAGGGTAGACAGCTTTAAAGATTTTTACTTCATCAAAGAATAAGAATTTCATATTTTCGAGGATAAAATATCTTTGTTCTAACTGCAAATCAATCAAAATAAATTGAGGAAAGCCAATCCTATGTACACAGTCAAGATATCTCTTAGGCACGCATAAAAAACACAATTAACAACAAATAGTAAAAAAAACTGAAATTGCATTGAACAATAAGAATTTCATATTTTCTAGGATAACATCTGTATTCAACTGTAAACCTTAATTGCGGAACAAAGTAAAACCAATCCAGAGGACACAATCACGATATCTCTTAGGCACGCATAAAAAGGCACAATTAACAAGTAATAGTAAACAAAACTGAAATTGGAAAGAGAATCATCATAATAACATATCAATCAATGAGATAGTGTTCAAGCACTCTCACACACTGAGAGTGCAGAGAACAAAAGGAGAGGTTAAAATCTGAAAGCAAATAAGTAAACAAATAATGGAGTAAAACCTACTCGAAATAAATAAAATGTATCCAATTTAAAGAGGACTGTAATATTTTTATACAGAATTTTGATGACAAGATGATTTCTCAGAATACATCATAAACTTATCCTCTAACCTTCCTTCATAGTTGATGCAAAAATCCCAATCCGACTTTTGGAATTCAAAATTGGTCCATCCTCTTCGCCCACATACTGTCAAGTAGGCAATGGGCTTCTATTTAACTACAGAAGCTGGAGCTGCTTGTTGACTCCTCAACCGAATCCTGGAGGCACATCAGGATCTTCATCGTTAGGATCACCTGACTGCTTATGCTCCAGAATAGAAGAAAATCCAGGTGGAGGACCAGACTCCAAATTGTCGGGTTCCAATATAGCGGTGAGCACAAGTTTCCCTCTTTTACTTCTTTTATTTCTTTTCCTTCACGAATCATTGGAACTTCCAGCTTCTCATTTGGTTTCTGCACATTGTCGTTTGATAAGTATAGTTTATACACTTATTCGTGTCCCTAAATTATGATATTTTATTGTCTTTTGGATTAAATTCTACCTAAATTATGTTATATTGTGTTTTGTAGTTAAACTTTATGTTTAACGAAGAATTGAAGAAAAGAATGCAAAAATGACGAAAATTGACAAAATTCAAAGATGAAATCTTGGAGAGATATACATTAAATGTGTTCGAGTTAAATAATTTTTAATAGACTTGAATTGAAAATTTAAATTGGAGGCCAAAATTTTATATATGTATATACTAGTCACAGCTAAATGTGAGTTGCACGTTATTTTGAAATACTTTATAAACGCTGTAAAAATAATATTTGAAAATCAATGAATATAAAAAATAATTAAAAAAACTATTTATGTGAAATGAACTTTTTATACAATTCAATTATTTATTTACGTGTATGATAATAATTAACATTAATTTATATATATCATACTATAATTCAATCAATTAATTCTTCAAATTCATGCACGAACACTTTTTATATTTTGGAGGTTATTCAATTACTCTAGAAATACTATAATTTAATTATTTATGTATGTGCATGTATACTAATTAACGTTTAATTATGGATACATAAAATATAACATTAAGTTATCAAGTTCATGTACACACGTTTTGGGAGCTATTCAATTATTCTAGGAGTAAATAAATTATTCAAGTTCATGAACACGTATTTATTTTCAAGATTATTCTTTTTATCATAAATTATTCTAGAGTATATAAATTATTAAAGATCATATAATTTGGGAGTTATTCAATTATTATAGGAGTAGATAAATTATTTAAATTCATGCACGCTTATTTAATTTCAATATTATTCATTAATTTATGATATAACGCTATTTGTCTAAATGTATATAAATTATTATTTTTTTATATTCATTGATTCAAATTAATTAAATTCAATGTTGGTTCACGTACATTCTGTTCGTTTAAATGTATATAAATTATTATTTTTCTATATCTATTAATTCAAAATAATTAAATTTCATATTGGTTCACTTACACCCCCTTTATTTAAATTTATATACATTATTCTTTTTTTATATTCATTTATTCAAATTAATTAAATTCCATGTTCATGAATCAATTTGATTGTTCTTGTACAATTCAATTATTTATTTACGTGCATGTTTAATAATTAATATTCTATTAAATATATATTGCAAAACGAAAAGTAAGGTACTATTGAAATAATTAAATTGTAGTAGGGTTAAAATCGTCCAAAAAATGATTCTCACTTCATGCTATATAAATTATTCATTTAATTTATAATATAACGCTATTTGTCTAAATGTATATAAATTATTCATTTTCTATATTCATTGATTCAAATTAATTAAATTTCATGTTGGTTCATGTACACCCCCTTTGTTTAGATGTATATAAATTATTATTTTTTTATATCTATTAATTCAAATTAATTAAATTTCATGTTGGTTCACTTACAAACATTTTTTTAAATGTATATACATTATTCTTTTTCTATATTCATTTGATTTAAATTAATTAAATTTCATAATCATGAATCAATTTGATTGTTCTCGTAAAATTCAATTATTTATTTGTGCGCATGTTTAATGATTAATATTCTATTAAATATATATTGAAAAAGAAAAGTAAGGTACTATTGAAATAATTAAATTGTGGTATGACTAAAATCGTTCAAA